GAGGTGTCAGGCTAACCAAGGGGGACATAAATACCCTGTTAGGTAATGGATGGCTGAATGACAGACATTTTAGCAGCACAAAGACTTATCAAATTGGAATTTCCTTTGTTGGTGGGGCTTTTAGCTACTCTCCTCTTGGCCTCTGGTTTGGGGATACAACGTATGGTTACAGATGGAATTCAAATTCATCATGTTGGTTTACATTAGGTAGTATCTGCATGTGTCAACAAAAAGATAGTTGTGTATGACTCATTAACACCAAGACTGACTCCTAATTTAAGGGATCAATTGTTGAGTTTGTATTCTAATTTTTATAACAGGGTCAATGGTAAAATGAGTGTTGAAATGCAGTCTCCAAAGAGACAAGTTGGTGGTCAGGATTGTGGCCTATTTGCCATTGCAACAGCTGTGTGTTAAGCCAACAAGGTTGACCTGTATGGCATTGTTTTCGGTCAAGAGCAGATGAGAAGACACTTGTATGAGAGTTTTTGTAGGGGAAACTGGTAATGTTTCCATGGGAGGTTAAGGCCCAATCAGTAAAGGTGACATACTAGTATATAACTATATCAAAAGACAATTGAAGTAGTTTTACAATCATTTCATGGTTTAAAAAAAAATACAGGTGGATCTCTAAACAACTTATCTTAAGACCTAATCTAATATTTTGGCATTTATTTTAAGACAAGTGTGACATTAATGTTGAAAAAGATGTCCTAACTGACCCTGCTGTTAAAATCTCCAATAGAAACCCATCACTGGCACTGGACATAGAGAAAATTCTAAATGACAATATCCCTGGGTCTAGTGGACAGCCAGGCCCTGTACCCCCCCTCCCCACCCCACCAGACCACTGTCCAATTTGGAATAGACTTGAATCTTGCAAGACTATACAGAAGAGATGTGCTGGCTTTGGATGATGAGGAACACAATACTAGGGCAAACAGATACCAAGCCTACAGACTATTCACGCTATGGGTACATGGTCATTTGGGAGCTGGCAATAGATGAGTGATCCCATCTTGCTCTGTGTGGGCAATAAGAGAAAAGTTCCCAGATCCATATAGACAATACCAGGGGTTTATTCCCAACAGGATTGGCTAGTTATATTTTAAGAAATCTTTCTCTGTCAAACAGTCAAACATTATTTAGCACAAGCTGGAATTTTTCCTCATCATTGGTTTACTGCTGAGAGATTGGCCTCATGTCGTTTCAAGCTTTAGTTCCCCCTAATCTTAAAAAAATCTCTGAAACAGGTCATCGCAAGTAAGGGATTGTTCAGGATTATAATAGTTACTTGAATCCAAACGATTGATTAAAAGATATGCTTTAAAAACATTATGGGGATAAAATTGTTCTAAAAACCTTCAAGAAAATGCAGTCATCTGAAAGAAGCAAAGTTTTTTGACACATCAGATTTGGAAAATAAAAGTGCTGACCTCTTCTGGAATGATTTATTTCAGTTTGTTTATAGAAATTATGCCAATTCAGTTAAGAATGCAGATATTCCCCCACAAACAAGTATTCTCAACTGACAGAAGTTTCAAAAATTCTTTATCTGGGGCTATTAGATGAAAACACAGATAAATTTGAAACTGTCCAAAATGTTTTCGACCATTTGTATATTTCTTTCAAAGTGGGAAAAGATCTGGACCATCAAGTGGTAGCTGGTGATGGCAAAGTTTATTCCCATCTCATGAAATATAAACAGGAATCCCAAGGTGAACTTCATTGCCTACTTCTTTATCTTGGAAAATTTCACACACTAAAAAACTTTCAACATGTTTTACATAATCTATTACATGTATGATGCAGGTTTAAAAGAACTAATTAATTTGTTTCATTTTGGGGCTACAGGTAAATCCATGGCTGAAGCCAAGAGTTTTGATAAAACACATATTTCTACTACAAATTTGGGAAGCTTTTTTATAATTGAAATTGAATTATATTTTAAATGGAAGTGTGGAGATATTGATCTGTCTAATGAAGACATTACTGTTAAACTTGCTGACATGATGGGAAAAAATCTGTTAGAGAGGAATGGTGAGAAGTATGATTTTACTTGTAATTTTTTTGATGATACTTAAGAAACTCAAACAGAATTCTCAGAGTTTACCAGAGAGTTATCCCAAAAAAAAAAGACCTGGTCTTTTTGGCTAAATTTTGTTCACAGAGATTGCTTTTTATACAATTCTTTGTATCTTTCTGTGAGAACAGGTGATTGGAATCTAAGAATTTTTTGTTTGAAAAACCAATGAGACAAAAATGAAGGCATGGCAGGAAATAACTATGTTTGGGCCAATTTTTTAATCAAAAGCACAAGAATAGGTGACTTGAATATTGATATATTTTAATCTTATAATTCTTTCCTCCACTTAAGTACTTCTTTTATAAACATAAGGAATTACATCATTATGCATAGCATATTGAAGAAAATTTGAAACATTAAATTTTTGTTCAATTATCACAGAAAAAATTAGTTATATCTTATTGATTTTCAGAGTCAACAATATAGGTCTTGGGAGAAAAGATGTGAAAGTTATATGGAAGAAGTGGTCGCATTTTTCCAGCTGCTCCAAAAAGGAGGCAGAAAAAAGGAG